CTCAGTAGAGTTCATGACGTGACGTGATGTTGGAGAGTCCACACAAACGCTCCACAGCCTTGGTGTGCAGTCTGTCTGTGAAGCTTTTGCTCTCCTGCTTACAGCATTTTCACAAGCTGTAAAGTGTACTTCCACGTGTCATTMTGGAGAAATCTACAACAACGTAAATGCAAAGTATGAAACATCTCCACTGCCGGCGAGGGTGCGCACGCTCGACCGCGACCATAACTCAGCCTTTAGAATCATATGGATGAGAGGGTTCCGTTGGTCATGACTCAGCTTTGGGTGGACTGGACTGACACAGTCCTTATGGGTCTGCCAGCTCCCTCTGGAAAGCTCCTGTGGAACCCCAGTTCAATCACTGCTGCTGCATGTATGGCGCATGCGGCTACTCGTTCCGGAGCGCAGCGGTGCCAAACTGAAAAATGATTTTTCCTCAAAACGGCTGATGAGCCACTCGTCATCAGAAAATTATATCTGTTTGTAAATAAAAGCTCTGCATGTTACACTATTTATTATATCCTCCAGTAAGGCTGAATCTGTTCCTGTTAAATCTATTTTTGGCACAACTTTGCGCGTCCTTCATTTAACTGCGTCCATGTGGATGTAATAATTGTTAATCATGTGGATGTAATAATTGTTAATCATGTGGATGTAATAATTGTTAATCATGTGGATGTAATAATTGTTAATCATGTGTGTCTGGTGTGAACAATAATCATTTTCACATCATGAACAGTTTCTCAGAATCACCTCTAAGAGTCGCCAATGAAACTAAAACCACAGAAACGTGTGACACCAGCCCTGGAGTTGGCGTGGGGCTGTGCACATTTCCACGTTCAGCTGAGTTTTGATATCCGGAGTTTTGCGTGGAAAATGACGTACGCAAGGTTTTTGTGCGTACGCACCGTTGATACATGAGGCCCCTGGACACTATGACTCATACTGAGTTTTTTATTTWATTTTAATGTAACAGGTTGTTTTCAGCTCTTTATTAAAACCATAAAAACTCAGTGCACACACAGGACTTGCTGAGTCTTGGGTCTAGGCTTCAGACTGTACCATCTATCTATTTGTGGTTTTAGGGTGGAGCGTTCCTTTAGAAAAATGTATATTATAAATAAATTTAATACAAGCATTTTTTAGTYCTCCCTCTGCGGGTGGTGCAACAAGCCAAGAAAACTAATCCATCATCATTCCGCTCCCAAAGAATAACATCTGCTTTTCATTTTCTAAATCAAGAACCTCATCAGCTGTTGTGCAAGCGATTGCGCGTGTCGATACGGCTGATTCAAACAGTGAGTGTGTGTTACACGTTTTTAACATTTTCTGACTCGAGGCCAAATATGTGTGTGTTCCACTAGAGAGCCAGTTTTCTCCTCTTACGGTGACGTAAACCCGGCACGCCGTCAGGCACAGAAACCATGTGTTAGTGCATTTTTCAAATATCTGCTACCTGGTGGGTCGTCAGATCCATATGGTCCATGTTACCTTCAGACCCTCGTGGGCTGCCAGCGTGTTCGTGGTGAAACCTTTTTGTGTTTGGAAATGCTCCAAACAGCCAGTCACCCTTAGATTCCTTACAAATCTGTGTTGGTGGTCCATAGTTTAAGCCTACAGTAGAGGTTGGTCATGATATAACCAGACCATGGACTCCTCTCTGGTCCCTTCAGCTCCATGGTCCTGGACCTGCTCGGCTTCTTCTCATCTCTTGTATTACCTGCAGAGTTGTATTGTAACTAAGTGCTTTTACTTTGTTACAGTACTTCATTAATTTTTTGAGGATTTGTAATTTCACTAAGTATTTTTTTAATCATAACTTTTATTTTTATTTTGTTACATTCAAAACCTAAAAGTGATACTTTTCCTTCTTTATTTTAAAATTTAACACCTAGTTAGTTMTCACAAATTTAAATATGAGTAGAATTCATTGTGAAAAGAGCTGTTTATGCACTCTAAAAAATGAAATGTTGAATTTAATTAACTAAGTTAGGTCAACTCGGTTTAGGGGAACCAGTTTGGTTAAGTAAAATCAGTACTTCATTTCTAACAGTGTGTGTGATAGTACTTATACGATTCATGGGAGCAGTTTTTACTTAAGTACTTTTCTTATCAGTGAAATTAATTTTTTTACCAAAGTCATTCTGTTGGGGTATTTTTACTTTTTACTTTTACTTATTTCTTTCAAGTATTTTTAATACAGTACCTCTGAGAACCTGTGTGTAATAAGTTGAGTCACGTGTCGGTCCTGTCTGTCCCTGCAGGACTCTGTATTGGACTGACTGGAACAGAGAGGCTCCAAAGATCGAGAGCTCGTCTGTGGATGGTCAGGACCGCAGGGTGGTGGTGTCAGATGGCATCGGTTTGCCAAATGCTCTAACCTACGACTTCTCTTCTGGACAGATCTGCTGGGCCGACGCAGGTAAACACAGTTTCTGTAAGAGTAGCACGAGGAAGAGACCCAGCCTCCTTCAGTTCTTCAGTTCTGGGGTTTAACATCTTCTCAATAAAAGAAATTACACAGTCTGACCTTGGGTTCGTTTTGCTCGGACGTCCACTTCTGGGAAGAGGTTAGAGGTGTTGCCTCACAGCAGGGTCTGAGCTGACTCATTTTAGGACCTGATAAAAACCAGATCAAACCCTCAGAACTGAAGGAGGACTTATTTGTTTCAGTAAATTTGACTGATCTTTACTGTCTGCTTCAGCTTGATGTCAACTAAACTTCAGAGTGTCAGTCTTCTTCTTCACACCAAAACTTCTCTTCGTCTTTCCATCAGGTACCAAACGGTTAGAGTGTGTGTCTCCAAACGGCTCKGGACGAAAAGTGATCCATCCCAACCTGAACTACCCCTTCAGCATGGTTTACTATCAGAACCACTTCTACTACACGGACTGGAGGAGGTAAATGTCTGACTTCTACTACCTGTTTGAGTTCTACTTCCTGTCTGACTTCTACTACGGCCCTGACCCAATACCCACACTCCCACCCTCGTTCCACCCTTGTGCACTTCGCACATTTGAATGTACATTTGCACCGAGCATTGGGACTGGGCCTAACTGTTTGAGTTCTACTTCCTGTCTGAGTTCTACTTCCTGTCTGGGCTTGACTTCCTGTCTGGGTTCTATGTGCAGCTGTGATGAAGTGGTTTGGGGGAGTCGTCATGTAACTGGAGATTTGCTATTTCAATTCCCTTTTTCATTTATKTCAGTRGTTGTGTCCTTGGGCAAGACACTTCACCCCACCTTGCCTACTGATGGTGGTCAGAGGGTCCGGTGGCGCCGGTGCATGGTAGCCCCGCCGCTGTCAGTGTGCCCCAGGGCAGCTGTGGCTACAGTGTAGCTTACCATCATCAGTGTGTGACTGTGTGAACGACTGCAGTGTAAAGCACTTTGGGGTCTGATGGGGCTTGATAAAGCACTATACAAGTTCAGTCTATTTACCATTCTACTTCCTGTCTGAGTTCCTGAGCCTGTTTTCCATCTTCTGCCTCTCAGGGATGGAGTGATCGCCGTCAGCAAAGACAGCAGTAAGTTCACTGATGAATACCTGCCCGAGCAGAGATCACACCTGTACGGCATTGCCATAGCAACCAACTACTGTCTACCAGGTACGATTTGTTCTTTTATTCTCCATTACCTTCTAGGTAAAGTATTTGTTGCGTTCTTCTGCACAAACAGATGATGAAGAGTGGTTACAGTGCAGAGATGAACTGTTTACATACACCGTGTAAAATTATTTAAAATATTTTCTCAGATTTTGACCTTTATTTCATCTTAAGTCCTAAAATTTTTCTGGTTGGTTAAATAGAAACATTTCAGTAGCTGCCTCCCTCTCTGCCAGCTCTCTGTGGGTCTTTGGAGTTTCTGTGGGATTGAGTGATCGACGTTGTTGAATCCCGGTGCCGACCCATGAGCTAAAAGAATGTTATCTAGAAGTCCAGCTGTCCCAGATCAACCTTCCATGTGTCCGAGGAGCTCAGGGTGGAAACACAGCACGTTTCTTAGAATTCATCAGTTTTTCTTAGGTTTTCAACAAAACTCTGAAGTTAAAGTTCTGCGAGAACATCTGAGGATGTGGAGCGGACTCTGTGGCTCAGCAGGAAAGTCCAGGACCAGAAAAAACCAGTGCTGGAGGACCTGGGTCCAAGTCCTGCCATGTCCACGAGCTGGTTCTGTGGTTACATCAGACAACTGTGGTGTGACAGGTTGAGGGTTCTAATCCCAGAGATCAGTGGTGGGCACAGTTCCCCAAAAGCACTAAAGCACTAATAGGGGAACTAATTTCCTGATTAGTGCTTTAGGGATTCTGCGAATTTTAAAATTTATTAGTGGATTAGCACCTGCTAAATTTAGAAGCACTAACTGAATGTTATTGATCAACATTAATGTTAACAGCTGAGGGTGAAAACTGTCACACATTTTGCTCATATGAGTGTCACTGATCCACCAGGTGACAATATATGAACCCAAACACAGCTGTGGGATGTCAATGATAAGTCTTCAGAGAGCAACATGACAACATGTGACTCATGTTGTCATGTTGAAGAATCATGTGTTGACTGGATTATTTTAGTGCTTTAGAATTAGGTTTTGCTAAAACTTTTAGTGTGTTAGTGCTATAGAATTAGGGGACCTAAATATTTGAGTTAGAGTTTTAGGGCTACTGGAACTAATTTGTAGATTAGTGCTGCCCACCACTGCCAGAGACAACCTCTGAGGAACATTAGAGAGAGGTTACACTCTGACTGAAACGAGTCCTGGACCACCTCGGACTGAGAGAGGACAGTTACAGTTTGTAAATGGACACAAAGACCTGAATGTCTGGAGACATGTCCTGATGTCTGAAGAACTAAAACTGAACCATAAAAACCATGGCTCCATTAGGAGGACAGAGGAGGAAGCATCATCCTGACTGTGAAGCACGGAGGTGGCAGCATCATGATGTGGGTTGTAAAACTGCAGGAGGGACTGGAGAACGTCACTGAACATTATGAGGACAAGGACATGGTGGAAATGTTGACGTTAAAACTTGGACACAAGTAGGTCTTCAGATGGACAATGTCCCTCAGCAGATGGACAAAAAAGCAGTTGTCTTTTCACAGGGTGTATGTAAACATCTGGTTTCAGTTGTGTGGGACCCTCTAACTTCAGACTGGTGAGACCAAACTGATGATTACACAGCTGTTGACGACCCTCTGCCTGGACTTTGATGTTGTCGACAGACGGCCTCAAATCCTTTCAGAGACGGGTTTTTAAGACCTCTTCAAAGCCCCTCTAAACACAGGATGATCCTCAAAGCAGCACCTGCCCAGATGTCAGCGACACATCTGCACGCCGTGAGACCTGCTGACTCAYGTCCGTTAGGACTGCGTGTTGGTCTCACACAGGAAACTGTTTTTGATCCTTAMCTGCACATTTAGACTACATTCACCCTGCAGGTCTGGATCTGATCCAACAAGTCAGTTTACCACTGTTAGCATCATATGTTGGTGTAACGTGATGATGCTAACAGTGGTCACTGGTTTGAGAAAACTTTGCTTGCAGTTTGAACATAGCCTCAGACCAGGGGCGGAGCCAGAGGGGTGGAAATGGGCACCCCTGGCACCTGATAGGCTACTCCAGGTGCCAGCCCAAAATGATTGATAATGTGGGGTGGGGATCGCATTTTGAGGGCGAGCAGTTAATGAGAATCTTTTTTTTTGCTAGCTGGGGTAGCTTTCATAACGTCATGGGGATTGCTCCTGGCTATCACCACACAAATTTTAGCTCAACATGTCTAAAAACAGCTGAATTGGAGCCATCTAAATTTAGCTTTGGCAGCCAACTTGGATTTTCTATTTGAAATCAGATTGTTAAAAATTGTTTCTCAACTACTTTAAATATTATCAGCTGTTTAAAATGGCTAATTATAAATCTTTGTAAAATTAGCATTAGCTTAGTTGAGTCTAGCATGAATTTGGGATCATCGGCTCTTAAGTCTAAAAATAGCTGAATTAGAGCCATTTAAAAGTAGATGTGGTGGTCATCATAATTTTTTTTATTAGTTTGTAGAATTTGGTAAAGARTGTTTTTGGCTTCTACTCCACTAATTTTCTGCTTTTTTCATTTAAAAATAGCTGAAGTGTAGGTCCTTGTAAATTAGCTTTAGTAGTTAGCCTAAACTGGGACGAAGTAKTCTGCATTTTTTTAAAATCAATCTCAGCTACGAAGACAAAATATCAGCTCAACATTTCTTTAAATACTGTAGCTAATTTACAGCCATTCAAAAATAGCTGAGTTATTTTATTTTTGTGCCCCCTTAAAAAAAAAAATCCTTGGCTCCACCCCTTGACCTGTGGCCCACCTCCTTTTGACATGACGGAGACAACGAAATGTCTTTTTGTGTCCTCTCACAGGGAACCACTAACGACTAGGMGTCCGGCAGCTACGGCGGGGTCTTTTGGTGCTAAACATCTGTGGGGACAGAAGACAGCGTCCCCTCAGAGCAGACAGCAGGACGGCTTCCCGAAGCCGGATCAGAGCCAACTGTCTCACCTTCAAATTATAACCCAAAGTTTTGTAAATTTGTGTCATACCTCATTTTTAATGTTTTTTTTTCTACTGTAATTTTTGTATTTTGATGTTTTTCTATTGAAGCTACAGTCAATTTGTTTTCTGAAGCCAAAGAACGGCCACATAAAGCTTTTTACAGAAAACTTGAGTCTCAGCTTTTTTTGTTTTGTCCAGATGGTTTAAAAACAGCATCGAATCCTCTCATTTTATTATGTTAAAAACATCTGAATCAACTGTTTAAAGGGATATTTCAGATAATGTAGTCTGGTTCTGAAGAAAGGTTATGAACAATTAATTTCTTACGTGTTGTAGATGGGTTAGCGTTACCACTTTTGGCTGTTTTGTTAAATATAGCTTATAGCAACTTTTGTCTGATCTCAGCTTTTAGACACCATGTTGCTAGTTTTACAGTTTTTCTAACAGTTTAGCAACTAGTTTGTTTTAGATATGTAACTGAGAACATTCACTCTTTTAGCTAATTGTAGCTTATAACCCTTGTTTGTTATCACTTTTAATCACTATTGTCTTAGTTTTAACTTATCTATTTTGTTGTCACTGAGTCTATAGCAACCATTCTGCTAGTTTTAGGTTTTAGCTAAAATTGTATTAGTTTAAGCTTTTTGGTTGTTTTTTGGAATTGGCAACTTTTGTTAAGCTTTAAACTAGTGCTTTGCTATTTTTAGATTGTAGTTAGATCTTCCATTTACAGGCCTTTTTGTGTTAGCTTCACGGTTTTCCTAGTTTAAACTTTTAGCTATTATTTTGTTGAGTACAGCTTTCAGCCACTCATTTTTATTTATCTTAATTATTTAGCCATATCTGTACTTATTAGTTGTTTTAARCCTCCTGCTGCTGCAGCTTGCCTACCAAGGTGGCGGCCATATTGTATTGTGTGGATCCGTGGGAGATTTGTTGAATTATTTTGATTTCATTTTATTTATTTATTTTGGTTGCTGGAAAATATTTTTAGTTTCTTGYCATTAATTTTCTAAGAACAAAACAATCTAATAAATCTGTATTGAGCGCAAAGATTTTTCCACAATCTTTAGCTGCTATTGAMACGTGATCATTAGAATAAAACATCAGAATATTTTGTCCTTTTGACACTTTTTGTATTTGTAGAGAGAATTCATCAGACAATCAAAAATCAAACGTTCCCAAACATAAACCGTCTTATTCCTTCTGGCACCAAACAAGAGTACATGTTTCAGAGCAGGTACCAGTTCTACAGTTTTCTGAAGTAGAAATCTGAAATCATGACCTTTGACCCTTGTTTAAAATGACTCCATTAAAGAACAAAAAAAATGCAAACTTATTTATGTCTTAAAACAACAAAAATCTGGTCTTTCCGTCTGAAATTTAAATTAAAACCCTCAGGAGGTTCAGTCCTTCCCTTCCTTCCTCCTCTTCACCCTCGTCTTCATCGGCCCACCTTGCCCAGCCGGTGGTCGGTCTTGGGGTCGGCGATGATGGCCTGGACGGCCACGATGGCCTCGTTGATCTTGGTCTGCAGCTCCCGCAGCTCCTCGATGTGCAGCAGGCGCAGGATCTGAGCCGCCTGGTTCAGKGTGGCGTCTGAGGCCAGAGGAAARGCAGGGGTTGATTTTTTTTTTWMTRWYSTKAYWWAA